TAAGCTCAGATAAGCTCAGCTGTGCGGCGCCATGCGTCAAGGACTTCACTAGGTCTTGGACATGGGCCTTCCAGCCCACGAGAAACTCGTCCCCGCCAGGCTGTGTTCTCGAAGCGGGAAAGGTACATGATGACAATGAGTACCGCCACTGTTCCCGAATCAATGCTCTTAGCATCCGCGAATATGGTGCCGTCCCCGTCATAGAAGAAGATCTCCGCAAATCGCTTCGCTTGAAGGCCGTTCTCGACCTCGACACCTACACCACTCAGCCACGTCTTCAAGGACATCAAAGACCCGTGGTCGTCAGGACCCATGGGCTGGCGCGGAGCATTCTTGGCAAAGCTCAGGAAGCGATCACGCGTCTCCGGGCTGATCTCGGTCGTTTGCCCAAAGTCCAGCAGCCCGACCTGGCCGCTCGGGAGGGCCAGGAAGTTTCCTGGATGCGCATCGGCCTGAACAAACCGGTGTTTGAAGAGCATCTCGGCGTAGGCTTCGTACAACACCGTCCTCTGAGCTGGCCCGAAAACGTCCACCGCATCCCCCACAGCCCACTTAGCTTCCGCCTCAGCGCCAGTGATGCCCTCAAGCTTCTCCATGAGCAAAAACATCTGGTCAGAGCGGAATACCTTCAGAGCCATACAGACCAGTTAATTCCAGGCCTGACCCAAAAAAAACATGTACTGTTTGCTGGCGAGCTGAAGCAGCCCCACCTCGGCCACAATAATGGAATGGTTTTCCACGAAGTTCGCCTTGGCACGACGTTGGTTCTCTGCCTCTTTCATGAAGTCTGTTTCCTCATCAATCATGGGCTCGAGCTTGGCTGCCACCGCTCGAAGCATCACGGAAGCTCCGACTCCCTCCTCAGCTGCATTGACCTTGTCCGCCAACTCAACCATGATCTGAAGGTCTGCCTTGTAGACGGCCTTAATGTGAGGATGTTGGATCTTCAATACGCAAGGGCGCCCCACCCACAGACCGGCATGGACTTGCGCGATGGAGGCGCTCTTGATGGGCTCGGGGCTCACCTTGGTGAGGCGTGGTTGAAGTGACTTCAAGATGCCCTCCACATGATCAGCTGGACTGCGAAAGTCTGTAGACTCTTGGGCGGCACGAAAAACTTCTCGATACCCCTCCGGTAGATCGGCCCTGAGGCTAACCATCTGAAGGGCCTTCAGCGGAAGGCCCCCCATTTTCAAGGCCGCGTCGAAGAGCGTCTGGGCGATCATGTAGTGTCGCTCTTTCCAGCTCAGGTATAAGGTCTGCCTGTCCCTGACGGCCTGCACCCATGAGTCCGGCATCCAGCTCTTCATCCCTCGGAAGAGAGCGAAAGAGTCGCTGATGCTGTCCCGGAAGTAAATCCAAGTGCAAAAGTCGACGATTTCATTGGCCTTCTGGCGCCTGTCCTCTATCTCCTTGTAGAGCACATCCTGCTGCAACCACTCAGGTCCAATCGCCGGCATGATGGTCCTGGCCGAGCAAGCGCTGACAAGCCCTGAACTAACCAAGATGTCATTGGAACAGCTCAGTGACACGTGGGTCCAACGCACAGGTTAAACTTTCCAGGCTAAGGCTTGCGCTGTCCGGGACTTCAAGCAGCAGAACACAGGCAGAGACGGAAAGAGGCGACTCACCCCCTTCAACTTGGGCCGAAAGTGCAAAGCGCAGGCGGGAGAGTCACTTGAAAAAGTGGCACATGTCAAGTTCATGTCAAGTCAAGACCGTAAGTCGTGCCACTTTGGCGGAAGGACTGCGCTGTTTCTCGTTGCAGTTTGCGGCCTCAATCGTAGCTGCAGCTGCTGGCGCATTGGCCAGCTTCCATCACGGAAGCTGACTACTAAGACTGCTGCTTGTGCGAGGATGGCAACTGCCCACCAGGTGGAGTTGCGGAGCTTTTCACAGCAGAACGGGAGTGGCACAGCACAGCTGCACGGCTCGCACTGAGGATGGGTTCTCCAAGCTTCACGCATGGCAAGCTGGTTGGGCAAAGAGCCTTGCGTTCAAAGAGCCGAGTCTGAGTTGCGGGGATGGCTCACTTCGGCTCCTCTGCCGATCCGCAACGGGTCCATCAGCGAGCCATTGCACAAGGCAGTCACAGCTCCCACGAAAAAGCCTGTGAACCTGCCGAGCTCGCAGGCCACCTTCACACACTGCTCCGACATGTGCGGGGCTGCCAGGACTCTTGGCCAAAGCCCACTTCGAAGGACGCCATGGACCGAACGGAGGCAGACTTCTATCAGGGCGCTGCATCGCACTTCAATGGGCTATCATAAGGATCCATCAGCCTCTCGCGCCAGTGCCCTGCACTTCCGGAAGCCGCAGCACCGGTGGCGCGACTTCGGCTCCTCTGTGATGCCTCTGCGAAGTCGCTGTGAAGCTACGCGCCGAGCGCAAGCTGCTGGCCACGAGACTGGCATCTCTTGCAGACTCAGAGGCACACATAGAGAAACCATCCCTGTTCTGAGAGTGCAGCAGTGAAAACCGCTCTTCATAGCGTTGTGTCCCGCTCCATCACATCTCACACCTAGCCAGAGAAGGGAAAGATGACTCAAGATTCCATGCGGCATCAAGAGAGGGCGGTGCACTCTTTGCCTCGTAGCCAGCGCTACAGAAGCTCATAATACACCTAGCCAGCGAAGAGGTGCCTCTCGATTCCATGGCTTGGCCGCGGCCCGCTATGGAAAGATGACTCAAGATTCCATGCGGCATCGAGAGAGGGCGCTGCACTCTTTGCCTCCTAGCCAAGCTCATAATACACCTAGCCAGCG